CACACACACACACACACAAGTCATGAAAAAAGGGGTCAAATATTGAGGTTAAACTGCTGAGCTACATTCAATAGCTTGCGGGACCCTTCAACCCACCGGTGAAGAACCAATCAGAGGTCAGGAGGATGATACGTACCCACCAATCACTGTCCTCCTGGCCCAGGACCACCAGCACCTGTCCCTCAGAGAAGCTCAGCTCATCGTGGTGGTCGGCCTGGCAGTCGTACAGCGCCTCAACACGACGGCTCGTTGTACCCCGAGGCTGATGGACATAATAATATTTAATAATGCAGAATAATAACAAATAATACTGAAAAAATTATAGTAATACTAATAAATATTACTACTTATTAGAAAAGGATTAAGTGAGTAAAGAAAATGTGCTCACTGTTCGAGCAAATGTAAATAGGTGGCAACAAAAATGTATGTTTTGCAGTAAATAAAGACTACAACGTAAAAATACAAGTAAAAGATCAAGGTATTAACACCAAAATATACTTCAAGTACCAAAAGTAAAATATCAGAGTGTGTGTTATATATTTTAAGTTTTTTTATATATGTAAGTAATATATACATTAGTTAATTAGTAGTAGAATTTATATTTTGTATTAATGATCTTAATATGCAAGGTAACAAGTAATTAAAGCTATCAAATAAATGTAGTGAAGAAAGAAAGTACAATATAATACAATATCTGAAATGTAGCTGAATAGAAGTATAAAGTCACAAAAAATGTAATTACTCAATTAAAGAACAAGTTTCTTAAATTGTACTTAAGTAAATGTACTTAGTTACATTCCACTTTTACATCACTTTTAGTCTCCAAGGTGTTGCTACATGGTTGCTAAGGCATTAGCAGGTGGTTACTATGTGGGGTTGCTAGGCTGTGGAGGGCTGTTGCTAAGGGGCGGTAAGAGATGCGGTCTCTAGGGGGTTCAAAGGTGATTCTCTGCGGTTGTTTTGAAGATCTCACCAATGATCTGCGAGGAAGCGGCTGGGGGGTGGGGCCTCTTCTGTCACTCTCAAAGCTCTGGGAGCGCTGACTGGTGGGAGACCCGTTGGGCGGGGCTTTACTGCCAGGGTACAAGAAGTGGGAGGAGCTACCGTCACTGTCTGCCCTCCGAAAACCTCAGAGAAAGAGAAACAAATACTGTAAACATTTACATTTTTAATGTTGTTTGGGAATATTTAGATTGTAGAAGAACAGGATGATAATCAGACATTTCTCACATTTGATTGGAAGTGTTGGGCAGTAACTTATTATTAGTAATTATATTACAGTAATAAAATTACTTTCCCCAGTAACTAGTAGTGTAACTATGTACGAATACATTTCAGCAATTAAATTACAGTTACCTCTACCTCCCAAAAAACAATTAGAATCAGAAGTGCAGCTATGAAACAAATAACAAGTTAAAACCTTTTCTTCAAACTGGAAATTAACAGAACAAACTGAATTTTAATAATGGAGAGAATAACCTACAGAATTAGAAATCAATAAGTGGAATTAAAAGCGGTGGAGTTGATGATTTAAATGTGAAGTTGCATTATAAAAGGTAAACACAACTTTTAGAAGTATATAATAGATAAGAACAGGTCGGCCATTTTAATAAATAAAGTATTTATGTAATTTATTATTTTTAATTTTGGGGGAGATTTCCCTTTTTTTTATTATACCGTAACAGATTTAGATTTTTGTTTTCTATACATGCTAATTTTTCTACATTTTATATAAATATACAGTATATATATATAGAGAGAGGACTAAAGATCTTTACTTTACAACAAAAGAAAAGAAGACCTGAAAAATAACATAGGAGTTCAAAAATGATCCAGTATAAGAAACTGAAATAAAGTAAGGCAACCAACAATTATTTTCATTATTGATTAATCTTCAGATTGTCTTCCAAATAAATAGTCACAAAAGAGTAAAAATGTTCAACGCAGTTTCCCAGAGTGCAAGGAGACGTCTTAAAATTGTTTGTCTTTTAACTTTCATTTACATCAATGAAGTCATCAATATTTGGTAGTTTTGCTTGAAAAATGACCACGATAATGATAATAATTGCCAATTAATTTTCTCTCTCTTGATCAAATAATTAATCAACCGACTACGATAAAGTAGAAAAAAATATATCATATATTAAAATGTAAACTAATCTGTTAAAAGTACTGTTAAAACTAGAGTTTACAATCTAACTCTTAACTATTTGTCCTCCACTGGTTTAAGCTCCAGTCACACATGATGGGATCATCAGACTCCAAACAGATAAAACAGAAATTGATCCGAGAGAAGAAAGCTGGATGCTTTCTGGACAGGAAGTACCTCTGTCAGGTCGTTCAGCCAGCGAGCTGAGGGGAGACGCTGGCCTGCAGAGATAGACAGAGAGAGAGAGAGACAGGTTTATTATCTGAGGTGTAATTTTGCTTCAGTCCACCAGAGGCCAGTACAGTCTCTCATTTTAACTGAAGAATAGTTGTTTCAGTTTCTGCTCATTTAAATTTAGTGGGAAAGTATATTGTGTCTTTTTACTGAAACTTAATAATGAACACAACCAGGCTCAACTTTCACATCATGCTGCATAATTTTAGACACATCTCACCAAAATTCAGCCAGACACATTCGATATATTTCTAACCTCAACAGAATCTGAATAAAGTTGGAACGAACAAAAGTTTGGACAAACGGCACAGGTTTGTAAAGATGAAGCCACCAGAGGTTCCTGTCAACTTTATATAGTTTTACAATGTGGCAGTTTCTTTATGGTGGACTTATCTTATATAGAGAACACTTATAAATGGCTCATTCTAAGGTAACAAAACATAATGGTTACTATACATTATACATATTATATGATGTATATATATTATATTTAATTCCTGACAATAGATC